CTTGTGGCTTCCTTGATAGGTAAATTTCCACGACAATGTGTAGATAAAAAAGTGGGTGCTCAAAGTCACTGGAATATTTAAAGCGTTTCGGATCTTTAAAGAATTTCCCCAACAATAGTGGTTTCCAATACAGCATCAGAGCAAATATATCTACATCACCTTCTTGAGGTTCTCAACCTGTCCTTCGACTTCCTTTACTTTGTTCTCTGCTTGTCCAAGAGCATCTTTTAAAGCCTGGATTTCATTGGCTGATGCCTGTTGGGCTTCCTGCTCCAGTATTGGCTGGGTAGCAGCTTCGGTGACCAGCTGGAAAAATTAATACATTATTTTAAAAGTACAATACATAACCATTTATATGCTCACCAGGACTCAAAAGAAGAATCTGAACCATCAATTACTTTGATGAAATCAGTCTATTAGAGGTCTCAAGGATTAGAAATAACCATTTTAATGAAAAATCAAAATGGAACACTCATTTATGGTTTACCAAATTTGCGGTTCAAAATTGATGGAGTCCTCATACCTTGTCATGCTGCACTTTCAGCTCCTCGTATTGAGTCTTGTACCTGCGACCAATTTTCTTCACTTGCGTGATGGTTTTCAGCTTTTCCTGAATGTCTAACAGTTTGGCATCCAGCTCTTTCTTCAGTGCCTCCTTCTCTACTGTCATTTTGGCGCGGTTCTCCCTTTCACTGTGCACTTGGTTCTGCGCCGTAGTCAAAGAAGCATTTGTCCTGGTATAGGAGGCAAAAAACAAATTCTGCAAAATGTTCGATGTCTTCTCGGATACCCATTTCGATGTCCCCAGAACGGGAGACTAACCTAGCGATTTCCGTCTTTAGTCGACCATTCTCTTCAGTCAGCTGCTGAATGCGCTTTAAATGGGCTTCCTTCTCAGAGTGGAGTTTCTTATACTCTTCGGGATCAGTATCTTTCTGCTGTGTCACCAGCTGCTACATTGGAAAAACAAAAGGTTCATCCCACAAAGGTTAGTCAAGTCAGTTCTGGGTGCTTGATGCTTTTATCCAAGACAGAGGTTACCATTGCCCCAACCTCTACTCCATACTGTCACCCTTTTCAAAAACTCCATCCACATTCTCGAGATTTATTGTAATTTAAAAAAAATGGACAAAATGCATAACAAGAGATTTTAAGGTACTATCTGCAGAATGCCACTGTAGAAAGCCAACCTTCAGAGTTCAGCTGCTGCGATAGTAAATTACACTTGAAGGTGAATGGGCAAAGGTAACCCCTCTTCAGGGGACCAGGAGAAGAATCAGATTCCAGGCTACAGAGGTGGAGCGACAAACAGGCCTTCACTTCTGCCGAACTGAAGGCACAATACCACGAGAGAAAGAAAATGTATTTTTCTCTGTCAAGATCCCTCTGGCTGAGCTCTCTTGTTATAGCCAGATACCAGAAGTTACAATTCTCACTACCCCCCTTATCCAGCAGGATGACTTTCCATCCTCGCTTTTCTCTCATCAAAAAAACTTTTTGGAATAACTTGCAGTTGCCTTCAGTCTCCACATTTTCTGTCAGAATTACGAAGAAGCGTTGTTAACAAAAGAAGCGTTTTAAGCAAACACCTTGGTACAGATGCAAAGTCATTTGTGCTACAATCACTTCTAGGATGCACAGAAAGTACAGACATAAGATTACAAGTGTTAGGAGTGCAAGGATAATCATGAAGTCGCAGAAAAGATATACAAAAACAATCCTTCACACTGGAATGGTTACGTAATGGACGCACACACCCAGTTATCAGCTTGAGCAGGGTCTAAGTCTGTTAAGAAGTGCAGTTAACTCTTACTTGCGTCCTCGCTTTCCAGCGCTTAATGTCCTCCTCCAGCAGCTTCTTCTCAGCCTGCAGCATGCCACTCTTCTCACTCAGCTCGGCATTCGACTCCTGCAGAGGCATGATGTCGGCCTCCAGCTTGCGTACCTAAGAGTTCGCCAGCACCCAGGGAAGGAAAAGCCAAATAACGTTTTCAACAGACTGCGCATCTGG